TTAATGGTGATGGATAATTGTGTTGTGATTCCGAAGGACGTCGAGTTGCGAAACAAGTTAATTTTGTCGGCTCATCAGGCGGTCGGGCACTTGGGCAGCTTAAAGACCTATAACCGTCTACGAGCAGAATTCTTCTGGCCTGGTATGACGGGCGACGTAGATACCTGGGTTGGGCGGTGCGATGGATGTCAGCGACATAAAGCGCGGACTACACTCCTGCCAGGACGGGCTCAGAGTACGGATCTCCCGGCAAGACCTATGAGCAGCATCGCGTTGGATTTTGTTGGTCCTTTTCCTAAAGTTTTGGGATATGACATGCTGTTATCTTGCACATGCCGCCTAACTGGCTTTGTTCGCTTGATTCCTTCAAATCAAAAAGATTCGGCGGAGAGAACGGCTCGGCGTTTGTACTCATCCTGGCTGACAGTGTTCGGAGCACCGGATGAGATGGTTGGTGATAGAGACAAACTTTGGGTTTCTCGTTTCTGGCAAGAACTACATCGGTTACTCGGTATCACTGTGAAGCTCACCACTGCTTACCACCCTCAAGGCGATGGACGGGCGGAACAAACCAATAAAACGTTAGGTCAGCTTCTACGGTTTTCTACTCAAGGTCGCCAAGGCAAATGGTTGGATTCCTTACCGACTGTCGAGTACGCAATCAACTCGGCAGTGAATGCGGCGACGGGAGTATCACCGATGCTTTTTGTGCTGGGTCGGGATCCACGTTTATTTCCGATCCCAGAGTCGGCAGAGAAAGCCAGCCAGAGTGTTGAACAGTGGGTAGCTTCTCGGAAAGCGGACTGGGCGCGCTGGAGGGACAAATTGTGGGTCTCTCGAGTTGACCAGGCGTTACAATACAACAAACGTCAAGGTGGCGACTTAGCGTTGGAAGAGGGGGATTTAGTGTTAGTGGATAGCTCAAATTGTGCAAATCAGGTGGGTGGTAAAGTGGCAAAGCTGAGGGCTCGGTTCGATGGACCTTACAAGGTTTTGCAAGTCTTGAACGAGGGGCGCGATGTCAAGCTGAAGTTATCGCCAAATGACACTTCACACGATGTCTTTCACATTTCGAAACTCAAGAAATACCGAACGGACGCGTCGGTGGATTCTTGGTGATTTGGCGAGGGATTACTCTGTGCAAGTAAGTTCCCTCCATTGTATGCACCGCCGCGGGGTTCTACCTCTCTCCAAAATGTTTCGCAACAACACCTTGGCCACGCCTGTGAGCACAAAAACTTTGGTCTTGCTCTTTCAGGACGGGCACGCGGTACGACTACTCGACGGAGTCTGAAATTCGAATGGGTTTGATTGGGGGCTTGGGTTTCTTTATTTTCTTTCAATTTCCTTTTTTCTTATATCTTTTCAATTAAAATCTCTCAAATTCTTTGTGTTTTCTATTTTATTTCTTTAATTCTTTTTTTCTAATTTTGGGCTGAGTTGCTTTGCTTGTAGGGAGTCTCCTTTTCCTTTTTTTTCTTTTCTTCTTTGATTGGGGTATTTTATCGGGATAGTTTATTTTTAGTTGGGGGGGGTGTAAGGGAGGAATATGGGATAGATTACAGTAGTGTATGGGTTTATGTAGTGTTACATGTGTAGTAGTATAAGGGGGATTCAGGAGCGCGACTCTTCCTCCCTTTCCTCTTTTTCCTGAGGACTTCTTTCCTCCTTCTCTTTACTCTTCTCTTTTAGTTTATATATTGATAGCTGTGGTTTTAGGTATGACTTCCTTCTCTTTTTCTGGAGGACTTCTTTCCTCCTTCTCTTTACTCTTCTCTTTTAGTTTATATATTGATAGCTGTGGTTTTAGGCCTAAATTCAGGAAATATACTTTGGTGATTGTTTCGACTGGCTACGGCCGAAGAGTTTAGAGAACAGTGAAGGTCGAGATACTCTCGACCTTACAGTCTTGTATCGTATTGTATTGTATTGTCTTGTCTTGTCTTTGTAGAGCGGGAACGAACTAGAAGATCTAGTGTTAGTGTAAAGCACCGAAACAAACAAACAATTGTGACGGAGAAAAGGGCTAAACAACTAGTAGGTAAAACATGTTTTATATATGAAACACGTTTTGTGTGGCGTTACAACTCTGACGCAAACAATGAGAAAAGAAACCAGTCCATTCCTAAATCTTCCTACTTCTTCCAGCTAGTCTAAACCGAAAATAGGTGAGACAACGCCTTGTGCCTTGCCGTCTACGACGCCAGGCCAGTCTGGGCGTTAACACCCCCCCCTCAACCTTTTAGAGGTTTATCAATCTAAATCATACAAATGTTCTTTTTATGAATCTGAAATAAAGTATTACCAAGTGATTTAGTAAGAATATCGGCCTTTTGGTTTGGGCCATCAATCCATTCAATCTTCAAATTTCCATCAAAGACTTGTTCGTTAACATAGTGAAATTCACGTGCGACGTGATGAGAGCGTTTCGTGAGATGTAGGTCTTGCGCAACCTTGATAGCCGCTGTGTTGTCGCATTTGATAGTCGTGATGAAAGTGGTTTTAAAAATATCTTCTAACAAATTTTGTAACCAAATTGACTCTCTTGATGCCACACCTAAAGCCATGTATTCTGCGTGACATGTTGATGTCGCAACGCAACCTTGCCTCCTAGAAGCCCTTGAAATAATATTACCAAACAAAAATACAGCAAACCCATGCGTAGACCTTGAAAACTCTCCACCCCAGCTCGCATCACAATACGTAACTAGGTCATTGCCTTCTACCATTTTCCTGAAGTGAATCCCATCGTTCTTAGTCCCACTTAAATACCTAAGTAAATGTTTGAGCGCCAGCCAGTGTTCTTCATTCGGTCTGGACGAAAACCTTGCTAAGTAGTTGACCGCGAAAGACATATCCGGTCTTGTTCCTATCGCTAGGTAAGACAGGGAGCCCAGTATTGACAAATAGGATGATGTGTTGACCCCAGAAAACGTCTTTCTCGGTGGTGAGAAGGTTGAGGTTGGCTATCATGGGAGTCGCCACCTTCGAGTTCGCGAAACCAGTAGACTCCAGAATGCTTAAGGTAAGAGATGGTTGAGACAAAAATATCCCTTCAGGTGAGTATTGGATCTTGAGACCTACAATCTGTTCTAAATTGTCATTCCAGGTGATTTCGAATGATTTGAGTAAAGATTCTCGAATAAATGATATGATGTTTAACAATGATCCACATATTAAACCATCATCCACATGAATCCAAAGTAATGCGATATCATTTTTGTAATGTAAGACATACAGACTCTGGTCATTGATGCAATACCTGCAACCCATACCAGAAAGAATTGACGAGAAATGCTTCCACCAGCATCGGGCGGCTTGTTTCGTTCCATACAAGGCTTTCCAAAGAAGTAAATAGAGATTTGGTTGTGATGTAATGATACCTTCAGCTGGTCGTACATAGATTTGTTCGTCGATGGGAGAATGAGGATAAGCAGCCACCACGTCAAAGCCTCTGATGTGCCATCCCTTGTTGACTTTGATCGAAAAAATCATCATAAGCAATGTGAATCATGCTGTGGGCGCGAAAGTTTCGGAAAAGTCAATTCCTTCACGTTGAGTAAATCCCCGCACGACGAATCTAGCCTTCCTTTTAAACACATTACCATCTGAATCTGTCTTCTCAGCGAAAACCCATTTGCTGGACACTGCTTTCTGGCCTTCAGGAAGTGGAACTTCCTCCCAAACATTCAACTTAGTAAGAACCTCAATCTCCTTCCTACACGCTTCTTTCCATTCACTACTAAATTCACCGTTGATCGCCTCCTGATAAGTCTTCGGAAGATTCAGAGCTATTCCATCTGCTTTCGCTTGAAGGACTTCGACATTGATAGCTTGATTTCTGACAGCTTCAGTGAATGATTTGTCGTCGAGGAGATAAGATACCGAGAGGGATTCAATAAGATGTCGAATTTCTTGATGTACTTGTAAGCCATCTTCTGATAATAAGATCTCATTCAGTGAAGTACCGTCAGCATCAGTCAAGGATTCAGAAGTATTGGCAGGAGTGGAAGGTATAAGTTTTTCATTCAGCCATCTTGCATGAGCCGAATCGATGAATTCTTCAGTTGATGGGTTCCAGAACCTCCAACCCTTACTGTTCTCAAGATATCCCACAAACCTACACTTCACTGCTCGGTCATCCAGCTTCTTACGACGTTCAGCAGGTACGTGGACAAATGTCCAGCTCCCAAAAATCCGGAGATGGTCAACTTGAGGAGCGAAACCAAGAAATAATTCTGTCGGTGTCTTGGAACCGGTATTGGAGTTAGGTGTCTTGTTGTGTAGGTCGGTCGCGGTCGTGATGGCAAAACCCCAAAAACATCGTGGGAGTCCAGAGTCTCTAAGAAGGACTCTCATGCCACCTTGCACCGTTCGATTTGCTCGTTCAATCGCACCATTCTGTTCATGGAAATATGGAAGTAGGTTTTGAACTTTGATACCTTTCTCAGCGAAAAAGGATTTGAGGGAATTATTCACAAATTCCCCCCCCCCATCAGTACGCCAGTAAATAACATTTTTACCTGTGCGTCGCTCGGCTTCCGCTATAAAAACATTTATGTGATGTGCTGCTTCGTTTTTCGACTTGAGTAGATATCATGACACTAAAGCACCTGTGTTTACTAGAAAGCACCAAGTATATTGGATGAAACTGACACCTGTATCATCCAATGGCATTGGAAACCCCCCTATTAGAATTTCTTAGCAGCATAGGTGGTCCTATGCCTATACAAAAATATCTCTAAGTCACCTTTTCATAAGGGGGGGGGCCTTGCCCCCCCACACGCACCCAACACAAATCTCACTACCCAACTACACAATCTCACTACACAAGTCAAAAACTTACTACGTAAGTCAAAAAC